CAGGTGAGACCACGGGGGCAGCCAGGTGGGCAGCCAGGGACAGGTGAGCCAGGGCAACACAGCTGAACATCCAGTGCCAGGTGAGCATGTGGGGGCAGGGCGAGGCCAGGTGAGGGGAAACAGGGACAGGGCAGGGCAGCCAGGTGGGCATCCAGTGCCAGGTGAGCACACAGGGCAGGGCGGGGCATCCAGGACCACGTAAGCCAGGGCAAGGCAGCCAGGTGGGCATCCAGGGACAGGTGAGCACATGGGGGCGGGGTGGGGCAGCCAGGTGGGCATCCAGGGACAGGTGAGACCCCTGGGGCGGGACAGGGCAGCCAGTGCCAGGTGAGCCCACGGGGGTGGGTGGGGCAGTTAGGTGGGCATCTGGGGACAGGTGAGCACATGGGGACAGGGTGGGGCAGCCAGGGACAGGTGAGGCAGGGCAAGGCAGCCAGGTGGGAATCCAGTGCCAGGTGAGCCCCCCTGGGGCAGGATGGGGCATCCACTGCCAGGTGAGCCCCCCTGGGGCAGGATGGGGCATCCAGAGCCAGGTGAGCCCACGGGGGCAGGGCAGCCAGGTGGGCATGCAGGGCCAGGTGAGGGGCAGAGGGCCAGGGGAGCTGGGAAAGGCCCACGGCAGGGATTTGGGGTCAGGGAGGGGTTGGCACACCCGCTGTGTCCGTGCTCCTGCTCCTTGAGGGAGTTCCTGGGTGTCCTTGTCCCTCTGTGTCCATGTCCTTGTCCCTGGGTGTCCCTCACACATCCGTGTCCGTGGTGTCTCCTTGTCCCTGCTGTGCCCAGCTTTGTGTCCATTGTGGGGTCGTGTCCCTCACTGGGATTTCGGCTCTGGGATCCCCTGGGGGGTGTGTGATCCTTTGTGATCCTGGGAGACCCCAGCCCTGTCTCTGTTCCAGGTGGATCCCTGTTCCCAGGTTGATCCCAGCCCTGTTCCCGGTGTATCCCTGTCCCTTTCCCAGGTGGATCCCTGTTCCCAGGTGTATCCCAGCCCTGTCCCAGGTGTATCCCTGTCCCTGTTCCAGGTGGATCCCTGTTCCCAGGTGGATCCCAGCCCTGTTCCAGGTGTATCCCTGTCCCTTTCCCAGGTGGATCCCTGTTCCCAGGTGGATCCTTGTTCCCAGGTGGATCCCAGCCCTGTCCCAGGTGGATCCCTGTCCCTCTCCCAGGTGGATCCCTGTTCCAGATGTATCCCTGTTCCAGGTTGATCTCAGCCCTGTTCCAGGTGTATCCCAGCCCTGTCCCAGGTGTATCCCTGTCCCTGTTCCAGGTGGATCCCTGTTCCAGATGTATCCCAGCCCTGTCCCAGGTGGATCCCTGTCCCTTTCCCAGGTGGATCGCTCCTCGTTCCCGTGCGGATGTTCCCGGGACGGCTGCGGAAACGCCTCTGGGCGGATCGAGTTCAACCCGCTCCGCGTCCGGACCCACTTCCTGCACACGCTGATGAAGCTGCAGCTGCAGAGCCGGCGGGAGGAGGAGGAGGAGGAGGAAGGGGGGGAGGGAGCGGCCCCGGGTCACCCCTGGGGTCCCCCCCAGCCCCCCGAGACTCAGGACTTCCAGGAGTACCTGGCGGAGAACGCGCGGGCGGTGCTGCACCTGCAGACGGCCGAGGAGCTCGAGAGGAGGAGGAAGGACGAGGAGGAAGAGTCGGGCGCGGGGGGGGGGGGGGGGGGGGCGGGGGGCTCTGCGTCCTGGGGGAGCACCTGGACGGCACCACCTGGCAGGTGAGACCCTCCCCGGGCCCCGCCCCCGGCCTCGGCCCCACCCCGTTCCCGCCGGGATCGCAGGTCCTGGGATTCCCCACGGAGCAACCGGTGCAGGGGGGGGCCCAGGTGGGTCCCCAGGTAGGTCCCCAGGTGTGCTCTCAGGTGAGCCCTGAGTTATGCCCCCAGGTGAGCTCCCAGGAGTGTTCCCAGGTGAGCCCTCAGGTGTGCCCCCAAGTATGCTCCCAAGTGAGCCCTCAGGTGTGCCCCCAGGTGAGCTCCCAAGTGAGCCCCCAGGTGTGCCTGCAGGTGAGCCCCCAGCTGTGCCCCCAAGTGAGCCCCCAGGTAGGTTCCCAGTTGTGCCCCCAGGTGTGTTCCCAGGTGTGCCCCCCAATGGGCTCCCAGCCCTACCTGGCAGTGGAGCCCCAGGCAGGTGGGACAGGTGGGAATGGCCCTGAGGAGCCTCCGGCTCCAACCTACAGCCCCTGTGGGAAGGACCTGGGGGTCTCACCTACCCCCACTGCTGAGAGCGAGGGGGGGGCTCCCCAAAACCCCCCGGAGCACCTGGAGCTGCCCCACCTGTCCATGTGAGCGGCTCTTCCCGCTCCATTATTTATTCCATGGATTGATCATTTACCTGGGGCTGCTCTGCACTGGGGGCTCACCTGGGCCAGACACACCTGAGCTGGGACTCGCCTGAGCTGGACCCCTGGAACCTTCCCATCCTCCATCCTACCTGAGCTGGGACACACCTGAGCTGGAGCCTTCTGGATCCCACAGCAGCTCCCTCCCACCTGGCAGAGCTCACCTGTGCCAGGACACAGCTGAGCTGGGACTCACCTGAGCTGGATCCCTGGATCCTTCTCATCCTCCATCCCACCTGAGCTGGGACTCACCTGAGCTGGATCCCTGGAGCCTTCCCATCCTCCATCCCACCTGAGCCGGGACTCACCTGAGCCAGGACACACCTGAGCTGGAGCCGGGATCCCCTGGTCCCACCTGGCTGCCCTCACCTTCCTCTGGTTTGAGGGAAAACCCCCTTTTCCCTACGTTTTGTTCCTGTAATGAAGCGGCCACACCCCAGCCCACCTTGCCCAGGTGCTGCTCCTGTTCCCCGGGGGCTGGGATGGATCAGGGAACACCTGGAAGGATCAGGGAGCACCTGGAAAGACCGGAGCCCCCGGGATGGATCAGGGAACACCTGGAAGGACCGGAGCCCCCAGACTCACCTGGAGGATCTGGGGGTCTCAACCACCTCCAGCTCCTCACCTGGGATGGATCAGCTGCAGCTGCTGGAACCTTCTGGAATGCTCATGGATCCTTGCTGGGGGTTCAGGATTTGGGAATGTCACCTGTCCCTGCTCTGCCTGTAATCCTGCCCCATTCCAGGTGCATCCAGGTGGTCCTGGACCGGTACCAGGAGGAGCAGAGGCCTCCAGGTGTCCCCGTTGTCCCGGGGGTGTCCCGGAATGTCACCTGTCCCTGCCCTGATCCACGAGCTCCAGGTGAGCTCCCGCATCCAGGACCTGCCTCCTCACCCCACCTGTGCTTCCCAAGGAACCTTCCCCTGCCGTTCCAGCGCTCGGGATCCATCCCAGGAGCCCCGTGGGTGCTCCCAGGTGTCCCCGTGGATGTGCCATTCCTGGGGAATCCGCTCCTGGAGCACCTGGAATTCCTCGTACTGCCCCTCGGGCGCTCCCGGCTGCCCTGGGCTCCCTGTCCTGGCCCAAACTGGTCGGACTGGGATGGATCCCAGTGTCCCCCCCGGGCCCTCCAGCCCTTCCTGGGGCCGGGAATGATGGAATCCCCCCGGTGCTCTGGAGCTTCCCGGGCTGGAACTCCTCATTTCTGGGGCTTTTCCCTCATTTTTGGCCCCCGGCCAGGTGGGATCGACCTGGGCCGGGGGAAATTCCATCCCGAGAGGGGCAGGAGTGGGGGAACATCGGGATGTGGGGGCCCCTGCCTGTTCTCCAGCCCGGCCTGGTTGGGATCTCTTCCCCTGGCTGCTCCCAAATCCTGGGATCTGCTCACCTGGACACTCACCTGGGTGCTCCCAGATCCCGGGATCAGGCTCTGACTGGGGGGTGCAGGGCCCCAAATCCCCCCAAATCCTGTTTTTCCCTGAATTTTTGATTTAACCTCCGGCTTTTCCAGTGATTTTCCCACACTGGGGCCAGACCCCCCCCCCAGTTTGGGGGTCCCCTGGTGCTCCTGGGGGGTCCCCTCCCCCCTCGGAAAAGGGGCTTCAGGGGGAAGTGGGGAGGGAAAAACAGGTTTGAGGGGGTTCCAAGGGGTTTTTTAGGGGTTTCAGGGGGGTCAAAGTGGAGTTTTTAGGGCTTCAGAGGTTTTTTTGGGGGGTTCAAGAGTGTCTGAGGGAGTTCAGAGGGGTTTTTTAGGGGGTTTAAGGGGGTCAAAAGGGGGGTTTTGGGGTTTGAAGAGGTTTAAGAAGTGCTTCAGGTGGGTTCAGAGGAGTTTAAAGGGGTTCAAAAGGGGTTTCAAAAGGCCCTTTTAGGGGTTCAGGGGGGCTTTTTGGGGGGTCCTGATGGGTTTTAGGGCCTTTGAGGGGGTTTGAAGAGCTTCAAAGGGGGTTAAAAGGAGGTTCAGGGGGTTTAAAGGAGTTTTTGAGGGGGTCAGAGGGGTTTAAGGGGGTTCGGAAGGATTTTGGGGGGTCCAGTGGGGGGTCAGAGGGGGTTTTAAGGGCTCGAGGGGATTCAAAAGGGCTTTTTGAGGGGTTTAAGGGGGTCAAAGGGTCTCTGAGGTGTTTAAAGGGGATCAAAGGGGCTTAAAGGGTTTCCAAAGGCTTTTTAGGGGTTCAAAGGTGCTCTTTTGGGGTTTAGGGCCTTTGAAGGGGTTCAGATGAGGGTCAAAGGGGTTTAAAAGGGGGTTTAGGGGGTCAAAGGGGTTTAGGGGGTTCAGGAGGGTTTAAGAGGGTTCCCTGTGGGGTCAGAGGGGTTTTTAAGGGCTCAGGGGAGTTCAAAAGGGCTTTTTGAGGGGTTTAAGGGGGTTTAGGGGCTTTAAAGGGGCTCAGGGGGGTTTAAGGGTGTTTAAAGGGGATCAGGGGGGGTTTAAAGGGGCTTGGGGGGAGTTAAAGGAACTCAGGGGAGGTTTAAGGGGGCTCAGGGGGTTTAAGGGGGCTCAGGGGAAGTTTAAGGGGGCTCAGGGGTTTAAGGGGGTTTAAAGAGGTTTAAGGGGGCTCAGGGGAGGTTTAAGGGGG